GTATTTTTATAATTCATAGAGCATAGTTAGTTTAGCTTCTTTTATCTTTGACATGGTGTAATAAGGGAGGTCAGCAAGCAGTAACAGCAGCAGTAACAACAGCAAGCGTAGTACAATCACAGTTCCTGGTAGTCCCAGCTACCTGACATTTCCGAACTACACTGACCTGATTCATGTTTAGCCCAGGATATGTAGGCAACCTCCGAAGCAGGATGCGGTCAAACTTTTCAAAAATGCTTCACACGGAATTCTCAAACGGGCAAAAAATCGCTCGTATTTGCTCACTTATCTTTGCCCGAAAACCCTTCATGTTTCCGAGCAAAGAGGGGCAGCTGTGAGCACGTGATTTTTGCCCTAAAATATGATTATTCCCAAAATCCCGAACAAAATAATTTTTCCTTTATTTTTTTTATAATTTTTGTGCATTTTGGGTGTCACTTTCTGATAAGTGTTGCATTCTATTTGCGCATGTTAATTCTATAAAGTACAAAAATATGCATTTTTGCGTTTAGGTTTAGTATCAATTAAGGGTTAATTGTTTCTAAAAAAACAAAACATAAAAATCACAAAATATTAGTTCACTTTCGCATTATTAATGATTTTTGTTGTGAATTTGTCATGAAATAGCTTTCGAACAATTTTAGTAATTAATTAGTCTTTGTTTTGAAATAACTAGAATTTCATGTTAGTTTTACATTTCCATAAAAATTAGAAAATTATAAAAATTGTAAAAGTGAGAAAAGAAAACAAAAGAAAATAAGAATAGAAATTGGGTCTTAATAAAAGACCCAAATTTGGGCCAAATCAAAAGAATTTGTCAGGCCCAAATGCTTTAAACCATTGCAAATCAGCCCCAGCCCAAATCCCCAACCTTGTCCGTTCCCCCTCCTAATCGAAACGACGTCGTTTCGTGGTCTCCAAATCAGGACCGCTGGATCTCATCAATCCAACGGTCCGAAACTAACGAGGTTCCTAATTTAAAAGGGTCCAAAACTTTCCCCCCTACCCCATTTGACTCATCGTCCTCACCCTACCCCTCCTCAACAAACCCTAATCAGCGCCACCATCAAACCCCTCGCCGGCGGTGAACGCCACCTACCCCGTTCAAACCCAGATTAACACCACAAATTCTCCTCACTCTCCTCTTTCCATTGCACCCACTGGTTCCCCTCGAATAAGGCCGGAGCTCGTCGAATCTTCGATTGAAGTTTCCGGTCAAATCGAAGGTTCATCCAAATCAGCCCAAAATCACACCACACAACCCCCGGCCCTCCCTCAACACCAATCCATGGTTATTTTCTTTCAAATCTCCGTGAAACGGCCCGAATCTTAGATCTAAGAATTTCTGGCCAAAACCCTAAACCAAATCTTTTTGATTTCGAACCGTAGTATCCTTAACCATGTGTTCTCTTGTAAGAACACATGGTTAGGGATGTTACGCATCAAAAATCTGAAAGGATTCAGACGTTTCTGACTGGCCGGAGTCCCTTGTGCCTATGTGAGTTTTACTGTTTCCTTTTACTCGCATGTTTGAAGTTTTATTTACAGTTGTTGTTTCGTTAATTTTTCTGTTAATTTTATGATTTATTTGTATTAGTTTAGTTCTGTCAATTGTTGAGTAGTTCTGAGTTGATATTTGTTTGAATGATTATGAGTTTATGGATTAAGAATTAGTTTCAGTTCATTTAATGTTGTTCATGCTTAGTTTGATATTATTTAGTTTGATTGAGTTAATATAATTGAACCATTTGGTTTTGGTCAGTCTGATTAGTTGGTTTCTGAATGATAACTAATCAATTTCGGCTAGTTTTAGATTGGATTAGGGTATTGGTTACAGCTGTTAAGAATGAGGGTAGATTCAGTAACTTTGGGGAACCTTCAGGGGTAGTCTGGGTATGGAAAAGGGTAGTTCTGATAGGAATAGTACTATCAAGGTATATGGAAGGGCAGTATAGGTATTGTATGGGTAGAGGAATACCCTAGGGCCTTCTAGAATGGGGTACAAGTGTAGATTTTAATAATTGTAATGCATTTACTTGTTTAGCAAGTTAAGAATAGAGGGACCAAACTGAAAATAGGGAGGGACTGATTGGAAAATCAGAATCTGATCTATTCTCTTTGGGGTTGCCTATAAAAGGGCATGAAATGCCTTGGGAAAAGGGGTTCTTTTTTTTCTCTTCTGCCTTCAGCTTTGAGTTTCAATTTCAGCTTTATTTCCTGCTTTTGATTTCAGTTGGCATATTAATTCCAAGTTTATTCAGAAAACAAAATATCAAAAAATGGAGAAATCCGAAATAATTTCACAGTTTCATTACTAGTTTTGGATTTCAGTTTGGGTTTTGGTTTTAGCATTATCACAGAGGTGCTTAGGTTCAGCTGAAGGGGTTAGGATTGCATTTGAAGTTGTGTTGAGTTGGTCAGTGGAGTCTGTTGGTATTTCTGGTTTTTCAAAAGCAGTTCCTGGCAAATTCTGTGGTGCACGTTGTTGAGTTAGTTGTTGTTGGTGTTCAAAGTAGCTGACCCCTTTCTTTTTCTCTATTTACATTCCAATTTCCAGGTACTTGTTCTGTAGCTCTCAAGTATATGAAAGTGAAGTAAATATGTTGTTTAAAGTTGATCTCTGAACTCCTCATGTTTGTGCTTGATTCAATGTATAAAACAGCTAGCTTACTCAATATTTCATGACATTTGTGTACTAGACTGCTCCTGGATTGTATAAATTGGACTGGCGAACTATTAAGCATGAGTTTGTTCATTTTTATTATTAAATGGGTACTTGGATACGTAGATTCATGTATGTAGTCAAAACTGTGGACTGTTTAGACTGTGCATTTCATGCTTATGTAATCGTAGTTTTCAGTTGTGCTTAAATTTCACATGTCTGTTGAATTTAAATTTGCAAAGTTGTAATTGATTTGGAGTTCAATGCCCGTGACTGCTTTTAATTTTGGTTTAATATGAATTGTACATTCAATAGCTTAGTGTTGGGCCAGTTTTGGGCCTGGCATATTAATAGGTAGCCCAGATTTTTGGTTAAGTGACAAATTGGATTGGGGCATAGGTGCATTAAGGCTTAAGAATTTAATTAAATCAAAAGGTTCCCCAAGGGTTCGATCCTTGGGCTATACAATTGTTGTCAACATGTTACAAGTTTGGCTTACGTTAGGCCCAATGCGAGGAGCTCTAGGAGTCTGCGCCTGCAGCATGTGCAATGGCGTGATTTGGACCTTATGGGCTTAGAGCCCATTTTTCTCAGCGTTTCTTCCCGGATGTTCAAATCCAAATTCAACAAAATATTAGTCTTAACCAATTAGGATCCTTAAGTGATTAATAGCATAATTATCTCACCGTTTAGATTTGGAAAGGTTGTTTAGTGAATTTCACCACCTTCCTCAAAATAACAATACGTTAGAATCTTTAAGCGCGATTTAATTAAAGTGCCTTCTTAAATTCGGGTGCGCATTGATGCGACCCAAATCCAAGTCTCGATGAAGTCGAAATGTGTTGGCAATTACGGGCGCATTGATTGCGATGGGGTTCGAAACACATTTTCACGACATCGTAATTCTTATAAAATAAATAATGATAGAAAAGAGGTTCACAAATTGAGACGAGCCTCACCGCACAAAAAATAAATAAATGTGGGGCCCTCAATAAATAATTACCGAAATAATTAGAATTTGGGATGGTCGTTTAGCGAACTTCATGGCTTTTTCCCAAAATAACACTACGTTAGCATCTTTAGGCACGATTTAATTAAATAACCTTCTTAAATTCGGGTGCGCATTGATGCGACTCAAATCCAAATCTCGACGAAGTCGAAATGTGTTGATAACTACGGGTGCATTGATTGCGACGTGGTTCGAAACGCGTTTTCATGACGTCGCAATTCTTAAAAAAAATAATTATAATAAAAGCGGTGTAAAATTAATAAAAGGCACATAAGCTAGCATGTATTAAAATCAGATAAAATCAAATACAACAGTTAAGCGACCGTGCTAAAACCACGGAACCCGGGAATGTCTAACACCTTCTCCCGGGTTAACAGAATTCCTTACTCGGATTTCTGGTTCGCGGACTGTTAACAGAGTCATAAATTTCCTCGGTTCGGGATTCAACCGGTGACTTGGGACACCATTAATATCCCAAGTGGCGACTCTGAATAATTAATAATTAAATCCTGTTCCGATTGTCCTTTAAATGGAAAAACACATTTACGCCCTTACGGGTGTAGGTAGAAAAAGGAGGTGTGACAATATCCACATACTTGTTGGTGCTCGAAATCTCAATCTTCATCGGATATACTCTCGGGTTTATGAGCTGAAAAAACGGGTAGATGCATCTTCTTCACGAACAACAAGTCGTTCATCTTGCTTCTCCAAACATTATAATTTCTCCATTTAAACATACCATCTTGCTTATATTTGCCTCCATTCCGTAACAACTCGGCTAAATAACCAAGGCTCTGATACCACTTGTTAGGACCAAAAAAATCAGGTTTCATGCGGAAGCTAGTAACGCAAACCTCGAACGGCGATAAATCATACAACAAGGAGAAATCTACCAAAAGAGACACAAACATATAACATGGTTCGGTCAACTGACCTACATCCACAGCGGAGATGAGCAATCCACTATATAAAAAGAAAGTACAAAATATCGAGAGAACAACTTCACGAAAAGGCAAACACAAGTGACACACTAACACTTGTCCCGTAAAGTTCTCCCCCTAAACACGACTCTCAAACCCCATATGGCTACATTGTGGATACTACTGAATGAGAAGGATGGATCTTCAATTTATAGAACTCCAAATCTTTTCTTACAAGAAAAAGACTAGCCGAATATGGGAGATTTGTAATTTCCTTCTACAAGAAGGAAACTCCAATTTAAGGTAAACATGTTGCCCTTTCCTTCAACAAATAGGAAAACCAAATATGATAAAAAAATTATGGCAAACACCTAACAATAAAACCTTAGAATCAAGCAAGAAACAGAGATGAAGTTCCACAACTAGCTTTCCTTGATATGAATAGATTATGACATCCTTCATGGCCAAAGTATACAACAAAGTAATGTCCTCAAAATAGTAAAATGACTATCTTCCAAGTACACAAGAAATCACTATGCAATGTCTGCTTAAAAATATCCTAAGCTATGGTCATCACCTGAATAGACTGGAAAATAGTCTGGGCAGTAGAAATTGGAATGATATCTGATACCACCAAAATAGCATCATCCGCCTTTATCATCCCCTTAGCTTTTATAAGTTCGACAGTTTTCTTAACGTTAGCTTCCATGTCATCGGACAGGTCAGTGAGTAGGGGAGTAACTCCCCACTGCAAATTGAGAGCCATCCGAGTGCTGTTGTCATTTGTGAATGCAAATATAGGAGGATTTGGACGGTTTCGTGAAAGAAGAGACGCCATCTTCCCGTGCCTTGTGTATACAAATATAGCATCCACCCCTAGGTTGTCAGCTGGAGCGCGTAAAAAGAAGTTGGTTAAGATTGAAGACAAAGACATGCTATAATTAAGTACATAAAAGGTATCTCTATCCAACAAGATGAGATAGTCACACAATTCAATAAAGTATCGGAGAAGGCAAGAGGTTATGAGTTCAAATCTCAACACCACCCATTATCAAAAAGAATATTCACATGCTTGGATGAGGAAAAAGAATCAAGCCGCATGTGAGGGGTGTGTCAAAGATATATTTCTGTAAATAAAAGTTTGTTCGCTCTAACAACTTAATCTTTATTTTTTTAGATGAAAATGGCCGCACACTTCAGTATAAAAGAGTTGGTCACACACTTCCAACACATAGAACACCTAAGAGACGGATATAAAAAAAACAATGACAATGAGGGGTTTCAAGCCTTGTACCAACCAAAAGTCAGAATCATTATTCCTTTCATTTCCTTTAAATTTATGTTCAAGAAACTATTCTTCACATTAAAATATGTAATTCTTGACACAAAGCATATTCATGGATACACAATCAAGGGAAGGAGAGGGAAATACCCATTTCCACTGCACAATTGCAGATTTGCTCAGCAATTTGATCTGGCAAAGATACTCCAAGTTTACGTTGATGCAACAAAGTTTGCCTGTTCTCTTCACGACATGATTGTTCCATTCGGGTGCTAGTTGTTCGCAAGACAGAAAGAGCCTTCATTCCATATGATCCAATGGCTGACTCACCAGATAACATCAATGCATCAGCATACTGTCGAACCGCTTCAGAAACATCTGCAACCTATCTCATAAAAAGGTTGTTATTGAAAGATAGATTAGCTTATGGTCTATTAGTAAAAAGCTTTTTCCAGAAGGGAAAGCTCTAAAGTTAAGGCTTCTAATATTACAGCTCCATACTCACAGTTGTAGGAATATATAATCGGCACTGAAAAAAGTAAACTAGAAAGTACTGACAGCATAAACTTTTCAATTTGTTTGCTAAATAGGAAAAGATAATTACAGTAAACATTGCAATCTTTGATGAGACTGGAAACTTTTGTCAAAAGATAGAAATGCAATGAGTTTTCAAAAGGAAAACAAGATTAGTACCTCTGCTCGTGTTGGAGTTGGGAATTCAACCATTGACTCCAGAAGTTGAGAGGCGACAATAACGGGCTTGTTGAGCTGCCTGCAAACATAAGTAATATCGTCCTGAACAGATGGAATTTGTTCAAGTGGAATCTCTACTCCAAGATCTCCCCTTGCTATCATAATCCCATCAGAAGCCTCAACAATTTCCTCCAACCTTCGGAGAGACTCTACACTCTCTATCTTTGCCAACACTTTTATTGCCCTGTAATCAAACTCAGAAAAATTTCACGATCCAGAATACACTTTGAATCTATGTCAAAGTTTATAATGAGGATGTATTACAAGTAAGTGGACTAGAAAAAGTAAAATAGATGAAGCAATGCTAATCAATGACGAGCAAACTGCTATCTGTGGACCAAGTGGAAGATAACTGTTGAAGCTAAAAATAATATTTTGCTCAAAACGTGACTTACTTGGAGGATTTAGTTGCGAGGTAGGCCTTCAGATGCTTGATTGCATCAGCATCTTTTACAAATGAAACGGCAATGAAATCGATATCTTCAGATATTCCAAAAACAATGTCAGACCAATCCTGTGGATCATGAAGTGTGCATCAGCAAGATTAGAGATTCATATTGGAGATATAACTCTCCAGTAAATTCTCAACTTTGTGTCCAATAACTGGGGTAGATCATAAAACTGCGCCATCAGAAAGGTTAGAGATTCATGATATCAACAAAAAAGATAAAAAGGTTAGAGACTCAGTTTGGTTACAATCTTCAGATGGTAATGTAAGCCTCAATCATTCGTCAGCATTGAAAAATGGTTAAAACTGAACCATTTAGACCTATCAATTCTTGGATCATTTATTGTCATTTCAAACACTTAGACAGCGCATTTTGAAGGAAATAGTCATGTTTAAGCTAAACTCGAGCATTTTACTTCAATGAGAAGAAACTTGATCAATGAAATTCACAGACCTTTGGTGACAAAGTGGGGAGATCACAATCTCTTCCTAAAAGCTTGTCATCTCTCCAAAAACTCAATTTAGCTCTAGGCAGAAGCAGACCAGGGTCTACGCACTTGCACCGCAAGTCGTTCCCAACTCTCTCAGTAACTTCAAAGGTTGCCATTCCTCCATCTATGACAATTTCATCACCAGGATTGACACCTAAATAGAAGAAAGAGAATGTAACCTCAGTCTAACGTTTTGTAACCAAACAGGAAACAATTTATTTTTATCAGCGAGATCACTACCTTCAGAAAAACCTTCATAATTTGCCTGAATTGTAAACGGACGAGAACCTTCAAACTTCTCAGTAGTAAAGTACCAGATTGAATCCTCCTAATGCACAACAATGACCATAATTCACGTTAGACTTCAAACTTTTCCTTTTCAACAATATTGGATAATTTCACGTATAATCACAAAACTTTATCTACTGTAACAGTAAAGTTACAAAGCTATTGTTTTGTTTTACCCACTATAACAATTTAGTCAAAAATTTGACAATCAATATTTTATTAAAAAGACAACTAAAATAACATTTAAATGAAACAAGAAAATGGATCTCGGCACCGGAAATTTAGTCAATTGTATTTTCTTAGCAATTCACACATAGTTCAATTATGAGAAAAAGGAGTTTTGCGACTTTACTATTATAGTGGATAAAATTTAGCGACTACAAGCGAAACGAATCCAGCAATATTATACAATAAAAATGACAAAACAACTTGCACAGTGAGAAGAATTTGGTTAATTACCTCTGCTTTGACAGAAGATGAAGAGCCATGATCAACCACCTGTATTTGATTCCCCTCTGTATCAATCATGACTGATACACTATAACCTTTTTCTTGATTCAACATCTTAATTTTCCTAATCACATCTTGATGCCATTCCCTTGAATTATGACACATATTTAGCCTAGCCACATTCATACCTGCCAAAGCCAACTTCTCCAACTCATCCAAAGAACAACAAGCTGGTCCAATTGTGCAAACTAACTTTGTTTTCCTTAACCCCAAAAATCCATTTTCCTTTAGTTCCCTTTCTGTCACCACATCAAAGCCTAAATACTCTTCTTTTAAACTCTTCAATTCACTTGAACTTTGAATTTTCTCCAACCCCACTTGCATCACTGCTTTGACAGCAATTCTTGATTTTTTTATAACTTCCAAATTTCTAGCATGAGAAAAACTAAACCTTTGACTTGAAGAAACTGGAACACCAAACACCCTTTTCTCCAATTTACTAATTAACTTGTTTGGACTGATCTTAGTCCCCATCAAAGCTAAATCTCCCACTACTGCCATATTTAGGAGTAAAACCAAAACCCCTGAAATTTTTTATCAAAGGTTAAGGCCTAAAAAAATTCTAAAAATAATAGAACTTGTTGTTGTTGTCAAATTAGTAAGCTATTAACTATATAGGAAACAGATTGAGAACTCCGCCAAGATTTTGTACCTAGCACCTAGATAACATAAATTCTTTCTTTCTGTGGAGTTTACAAGGTACACGGAGGAGAATAATAAAAAAGTATTACGGATTTTGTATTAAAAAAGCATATGCTTTATATGGAAGAAGGGTTTTAGTTAGGAAAAAAAACAGAAAAACCCTAGTAAACATAGAGGGGGGGTCCAACCAATGTCGTAAAGTGAGTAGGGAACAGTTACATTACATGTCTAAAAGTAGTTGTTTGAAACAGAGGGAGAGAGCAGAAAAAGGGCGGTACAGTTGGCACAAAATTTGGCCTAACGGTTAACTCCTTCGGTCCATACAATTGGCCAATGTGAGCCTTACAAAAAACTTCGGCCTTTTAATGCAGGTGTTATTGACTCTTGGCGCAGTTTTTGTAGGAAAATAGGCTATGTTTGAAAATGAAAGACTAATCTGATAGGCCATAACTACACTTGTACTCTCAAATTATCTGTTGTATTTTTTTATTACACGCGCCCTTAAGAAAATATTAAATAAAAATGATGTATGACTGTTTTATCCTTAATTATGTCTTAATTATAAACGGATAGAGTAATATTTATTCATAAATGATGTATTCTCATGTTTGGTTGGTTTAAAATATTTTGAAAAATATTTTCCGTCACCACTCACCCTACTACCCT